ACTATTCTACATATTCCCCCAGGAAGTCAATGCACTTGCGACATCTGTCCTGCAGCTTCTTAAGTCCCTGCAAATAAAATTCTTCTGACTGCTGGTGTAACCACTCATTTGCAGCATTAGTTGCCTCCAGAACACTCCCAAATCATTGTCCCTTTAGGTGTTTTTTGAGTTTGGGGAACAGATAATAGTCAGAAGGAGCCAGGTCGGGAGAAGAGGGTGCATGTGGCATCACTTGAAAGCCTAAGGACGTCAGTTTTGCCATTATTTTACCTGCAGTGTGTGATGAGGCGTTGTCATGCCTCATCAGGATGACACTTTTGGAGAGCTTTCCTCAACGTTTTTCCTTAATATTTTGCATTGATGGTTGACCCCTGTTGGAGGTAGTCCACCAGCAGAACTCCCTTCTTATCCCAAAAAACTGTTGCCATTTGCTTCTGCACTGACCTGTGCACTCGGAACTTCTTTGACCTGGGGGAACCACTATGCCTCGATTCCTTAGACTGTTCCTTTGTCTCAGGATCATAACAGTAGATCCATGTCTCATCACCAGTTACCAGTTTGCCCAGGAAATCTGACTCATTTCTTGCAAAATGTTCCAAAACAGCCACCAGTGACTCCACACATTTCCTCTTTTGTTTGGTTGTCAAAAGTTTGGGGATCTACTTTGCTGCCAGCGTTCTCATTTCCAAGTTGTTGTGGATAATGGCACCAACTCTCTCATGTGATATTCTCAGATATATAGCAATACTTTTGGCTGATATTCGGCAGTCCTCCATGATCATGTCATGGATGTTTTTCACATTTGCAGGCACAGTGACAGAAACAGGCCTTCCACTGGATTTCTCACTTTCAACACTAAAATGGCCACTTTTAAAATTGACAAGCCAACGTTTAACTGTTGCATATGAAGGGCCACCATTACCCAGAGTTTGTGGCATTTCATCGTGGATCTGCTTTACACCTTTCCCTTGAAGAAACAGGAACTTGATTATGGTCCTGTCCTCTTCCACATTGAACTTTTCTGGAGGTGTCGCCATGTTCACTTTGGACTGGAAAATGAAAGTTAAGTTAAAATCATAGGTAGTTGATTTTTGCACCATTGAATGTAGACAAATTGGCCAATACACCCTGCAATTTATAGCTTCCTAGCTCAATTTTTTCTGGGTAAGACTCAATACTTATCAGCACCCACTTGTAGTGTGCAGAGATCCTGGACAAAACCATCTTCTTCCCATGCCATGTCTAAGCAGATTGATAACCTCTATAGACTCAATGACCCAGGAGCCATTTTCCTCCAAAAACAGCCAGCTCCAAATTCTATATAATTGTAGTTCTTTGAGTGGACCTCTGTGATTCACACATCCTGCCCGTCCTCCCCTCTGTCACGCCATTGTTTACTTACTATTAAGCAGCGGTTGACACAACTAAAAGGGGACGCTTGGCACAAAGGTACTTATATGGGTGGGGAGGGGCATATTCTAATGTGTTCATTGCTACCCCAGAAGCTCTAGAATCTTCTGATGAGGCTCCGCGCAGGCGCAAATCACCCAGGGTGTGAATCACAGAGGTCCACTCAAAGAATTACAATTACGGGTGGGTAACCTGTTGATTATTTTCAACCTTGTGCTTGTCCTTAGAAGCTACTTTGAAACAAAACGCAATGGGGGCTTTCTTCAGATTCATGTTATTTTTGAACAACAAAGGGATTTGGGTCAGAAAAGAAGAGCTATGGTGGATCGGACCAACAACTTGTCTAGTCATTTAGCAGCCATCCCGTTGTTTATCGCGACCCCACTAGCAGGACATCAGTGTACCTGTACTCTTTTTCTCAGGTTCACCAGTTCCTCATACACAGAGGCATATTATGTCTGATAAAGGAAGCAACATATAAATATTTACATTTAGTCAGATGTGAAAAAAAATTAATGTCTATTTGTTCTAATTAGAAGCCCAAGGACATGAACCTGCTAAGAGAATAAATTTTGTACAGTATGTTATAGTAATTTGTTTTGGCACGTCTTCAGCTACCTTTCTTTAACTTAGAAACCTTGTTCAGGTGTTCAAAAAGGGTTGATTTGGAAGTGTGAGGGGAGAGAATTTAGTTCTCTCCCAACCTGTTGCCGTCTCTATGGCCAAACAAACTGTCTGAACACTGTCCTTCACATGGCATTTCTCTTTACAGTTAGAGAAATGTCCAGTCCTGGAAGATCAGCATTCCCAGTTGCTTGAGGAAGCTCCATGTGTATCAAACTCCTCTTCAGATTGTCCTTTTTCACATGAAGGGTTCATCCTTTTTCACATGAAGGGTTCATCACCGGCAGGTGATGAATTCTTCGTGCTCATGCTGCCAAACCAACCCTCTTTGACCCCTGGATAGAGCTTTAATTTTAACTGTTTAGCTCAGAAACTACTCATTTCTATTCAAGGCAGGTAATTCCTTGATCCTGGCACTCTTTATGCATGTGCTTCTCTGGCATATTTTACATCACCATTAGAGATGGGCGCAAACCCCCAGTTCGTTTAGCAGCTGAACAGTGGTCTGGCACTGTTTACTCGCCAAACAGCTGATCTGCAGTTTGATGCTCTGATTTGTCCAGCAGGCGCCCACTCAGAGACAGGACTCCACCCTGCCTTCTCTGGGCACTGCCTCTGAGTGGGCACCCGCCAGAGGGGTTGTGATGCTGAGCCATGAACCAGCTGTTCAGCTAGTAAACGAACTGTGGTTCATGCCCATCTGTAATCACTATAAAACAAAAGAAGCTATTTATAGGATATGCATGACTCATCGAAGAATGGGGTTTTTAATATTTTGACCATACAGTTTTATATTTAATAACATCAAAAATTTGAGGCTACCCTGAATTCATTGAACTAGGAAGGTCCCAAAATATATTAGAGCTGTTCTGAATACTTCTGAGCACACCTGTGTAATTCTCCATTTATGCAAGATGGTGCATTTCATCGCTGGTTCTCAGTTCTGTTGGTGGAAAAAGAGAGGCTGTCTATGCTATATTAATTATATCTGGTTAACCCTTCCCATTCATGGAAAATGTTCCGTTAGCTGAATAATGAAAGTACAATTACCCGTCTCTTCTGCACCATCAGAATTTGCTGTGGACTCTCCCAGAGCTGGTTTTAGGGGAGGGTCATGGTGAAGTAGAGGAATGGAAATTTTGTAGACAACTAGAGGTCCACTTTTATGACACATTTTCTGTATCTAGAAATAGGAATTCTCATCAGTCACTGAAACTAAATGTAGCTGTACCATTTTTTTCACAAGCCTTTTTTTGGCAGATAATTATTAGAGACAGAAAAGGATATTTGAAAATAGAATGATGCAAAATGATTCATATGCTTTCAAAAGTCTTGTTAATCCCTAATATTACATGATTAAATTTAATAATGGCCAAGAGTTATTTTGAAAGTATTCTGTGATGATAACTTGAAACTGTTTATAATTCTAATATATATCCTCTTCAGCCTTAATGGAATGTCCCTGTGGAGATCTTAATTAATTTAAGAGCATGATTTTAATGATATGTGAATAGATGTTTTAATATGAGTGAATCTGTGCATCTCAACATTTTGTGTACTATATAGAAAAGTACATTTTGTAGTCTATGTTATGACATGTTGGTAGGGTTAAAAGTGGGTGCCTGTTCAAACTATTCATGAAAAAATTATAAGCATAAACATATATAGAGGCTGTAGTTTAAATCCAGCAAGTCATACTTTATGAGGTGCTGAAAAAATCTGTAATGTCTAAATGTATCTTACCAAGAAATATACCAATGCAGTGAAAGGGTGACTGGCAGGTAGAATTACCCAGCTAGAGGGCTATGCATTGAAAAAGCAGGGTTGGTATAATGAGCACTGGCTCTACACCTAATCATATTATTAGTTCTTGGATTTACACAGTCTGTGTATTGCAGTACTCGTTTTACAAGGAAAATATGCTGTGCAGCAGTTTTTAAACTGCCAGGCTCTTCATGAGTAATGTTTATACTGATTTTTCCCTGCTCTGAAACAAAGAATGGTTGTGTTACCTCTAAGGATTGCCATGTCCCTTCCTGTCATCTGGTTTATTATATTTCTTGTTTTTAAATAAAATTTAACTCTATTAAATATAGGATAAACTTATTTTTTTTCATGTGCAGTGGCAAAAAAACTAATTTGGTTTTTTCATAAATAATATTTAAAAATTCATTTCATTTAAGAAGTAAATATTAACACACTGCAGTAACGTACCAATTAAAAATGTTCTAGACAGTTGTAGAGTATTCTTGCTATGAAGTTTGTAGTCCAGGTATTTTTGAAAAATTGAACAGTCCACTTAAAAATTAGCTAACTCTTCTTCAAAGAAAATAAAAAAGAGAAACCATCCCTGCAAACAATTTGGGACACAGCTAAAGCATACTTCAGAGGATTGGCCATATCATATATAGCCAAAAGGAATAAAAGAAAAAACCAACAACTTACAAAATTGAAAGAAGGACTTAAAAAACTGGAGCTAGAGCTACAAAAAGAACCGCAGAAGAAAACTCTTAAAAATCAGATGGAGATAGTGAAACATAAATTAAACTTAATAGAATCAGAAGAATTAGGTCAACAAGTTAAAAGAGCTAAACAAAATTTCTTGGAGAACGCCAACAAACCTGGAAGATGGCTATCCTATAGACTGGGGGAAAAAAAAGAAAAATTAGCTACTAAAAGGTTGATATGTAGCAGCAAGACATAGGTGAGTAAATCTTTCATTTTGATTAAAAGCAATGAAAACTCTTCAAGCATAGGACAGAAAGTATTGTGCACTCCAGGCTGTTGCAGCAAAATTGCTGCTGGAAGGTAAAAATGAGATTCCCACTCCCTTCCTTAGGAAGAAAATATAAATTAGGATGACAAAGAAATGGAGCAAGGAGTTGCAATAGGAAGAAGTGAATGAGTAATGGGACAAACATAGGAGCAGCCTGCAAATAGGAACAGACAGTTTTTTATGCGCTCTGGACTTGCAGTTGCACTGTAGAAAGTATTGTGTGTTTCTTGAGTATGTACAAAATGAAGGTTTTATTAAAATGTGTTTCTGTGAAGTTGTTTAATATAACATATTCTCTCCGTACATGATTTTGGAAACTCGTATATATATATATCTGCACACACACACACAGAATCCCCAGTAATTTTTCCATACAGAGATATGCAGAGTTGGCTGAGTTCTAAAAGTAACATTAGGTAGTATTTATAGCATCATCTATTTATATGTGTATACTAGTTTATAATTTCTTCACTGTGAATGTATAAGTCAAACTATTTTGTATATAGTGATAGATTTACTCAGAACTTCTTTACAATGATCTTTGAAACTGCTGACACGGGAGAGATGGCTTGGCTTATCATCAGAATTCTATGAATATTTTAGAGAATATGTATGTATTTCACTGCTAACTCCACATAATCTTTTACTTTTCCATGAAATGATTGCTTGGGTACTGACTAGCTGCATTGCTTATTTTAATGTTTGTGACCTACAATTTATTCCAACCTTTGCAGATTTAGTTACCAACATTTATATATTGAACAGAAACAGATTTGTTGGTTTTAATCAACATCTCTGCACCTCATCTTGTTAATCTGGAGTCCTAATACACAGAATTGAAACTTGGGGAGAGCAGAAAGTGTGTAAAATACAGAACTCTGAAAGAGGGTGTAGAACTCTCATCTTTGGTAAACGAAAACATTTTTTACTCAAAAACAATGCAGACTATGCTAACTAAAAATCCCCATTGCAGGGCTAGTCAAGGTGTGATATCCACAGCCATGTTTGTTCTTATATCTGGTTGCTGATGTGTCAAGAAAATGGGATGAGCACCTAAAGAGCAAGGATGAAAGATGCTGGCTACTTCCCTACCTGTTTGTGCACTGTCTGTTGCCCAAGACACTGTTCAGATACCCAGTTCAGTATTACATTGGAAGGAGTGCAGCCAGTGATTCATGTGGAAGTGGAATGTTTTTCTTCTCTTATCCCTCTTCAAATTAAAATTAACCTTACATGCTGCTTTTTGTTTCTTCTGATCATATATCAAACATCAAATCTGATTTGCCCTTCAATGTTTCCGCTATGCTGTACTCTGTGTTGGACTTCCATAGGGTTGGGTATTTTTTATTTTTTCTCTCTCCTAAATTTTGTCTGTAAAATATGTATCCTTTGCTTACAGTATCACTACCGCAATTCATGTAAACTGATCTTTTCTTTCAGGCAATGAGCCGTTCCCTTATGCCTTTTGGCCATTTTGGTGGCATGGTTAGTATACTAAAGAAATGCAAAACTCTTAACTTTTGGTGACTGGGAATGCCTTCTCAAATTTTAATCTTTACATCATGTTACAAGTGCAGTAATTTTGCCTGAACGGATGCTTCTCTTCCAGGCAGCGAGTTTTCCGCTTGTGCCTTTTGGCAGTTTTGGTGGCACGGTCAGTATGCATACTAAAGAAACTGAGATTGCTAATGTTTCATGTTGTGGGCATGTTGCCATTGCAAGGGCCTGTGCAGTCTAGTATATTCTTGTCACACTTCATTTCCATTTTTGTCCCACCCACCCCCCTTTGGGAACATTTAAACAAGACATTTACTGTATCCTGTTTACTTGCTTCCTCCTCGGCCTTGTTAGAAGTGTGGGTATGGGTTCATGATTTACAGTAATTGTACATACTGTATATGTTGCTAATAAAGAAGCAGGCAGATGTCAGGCATTCTGTTCTGTTTTTGACTAGTACTGAAGTCACATTCAAAATGGCAACTATGGCAGGTGAAAGTCTGGCAAGATTTAAGGAGCAGTATGCTTCTGAGCACATGTTTGGCCCAGGAATTTGTGATTGTTACCAGAAACAAATTATCTCATGAGGAAAGTGGTCTTCTCCTTCAGCAAGCTAATTTAAGGGGGAGGGGGCCTAAAGCACCTAGAAATGAGAAACCCTTACCGGGCTGTTGCAGATCTTCCAAAGACTGACCAGGACATCTTAATCTATTTTCTAACCACACCTTCATTAGTAAATGCTTAATTTGCAGTTGAATTGAAAGAACATCTCTCTTATACACGGACCAGTAGTAAGGTGCCTTATTGGACAAAGGACAGATCATAAAGTTGCTGAATTCTTAGAGAGCTATTGTAATGTAGTGATTAGAAATATACTGGGTAACTTCAGGATAGTCGGTCTTTCAACATTACCTGCCTCACAGGGTGGTTGAACTATATAGGCGGCCTCCTTGAGCTAGAATATAAGTGTAAAAAATCAGGGGCTGGTGTGTTTCCAGTGAAAAAGAGGACGTGCAGGATGATAGTCGGACATTGGTACAACACAAAACATTCATCCAGTAGCATAAAAGAACATGCCTTTTCAGAGAGATGATGATGCCACATAAAATGCAGGAAATGAGATTAATGGGAAAAATGCAACCTCCTCCATGCAAACAAGCAACAGTAGATTTCATGAGAAACTGCAATCTGGATGCCCCACACATGCATTTATGCCGTAATATTAAGACAGCAATTCATAGGAGCTCATATTTCTCTTTCAGGCCATGAGTTTCCCCCATATTCCTTTTGGCTGTTTTGGCGGCATGGTTAGTATACTAAATAGATAGGCGTTGCTAATTTTTGGCGATGGGCATCTTTCGCTTTCACTAAAACCAAGCTTTGTGCTTTATAAAATACTTACAAGGTTAAAAAAAATTAAAATTATATTTTCAGTGACTATTGAGCTTACTGTGTGGAGACTGAAATCAATGTTATTATTTAAGGACATATTCCCCCCTTCTTACAGTGTAATACCTGCAGCTATTTTCTTTGTCCTTTTGTTCTACAGTATTTCCCTTTGTATCATTCATCCATATCCTGTTGATATTTTCTAACAAGTGAGAAATCTGTGTTGATTATTAGGTGTAATCTGTTACCTCTACAGTTATTCTAGTAAACAAAGTACAGTAGTAGTTTAGTCTATATTTGAAAATAGTGTGTTACAGAAGATAGAACTACAATGAACATATAGCTAGATAAATTTTAAGTTTACTGATGATATATGCAACCTTTGACTTAGAATATTTGTCTGCCAAATGGAGTTGGTACCTAGTTTAAAAAACTGCACATGGGTAAGGTCTTCTAAGACACTTTTCATATGACTCCTATCAAAGAAAAAATGTATAATTTTTACACACTTGTTGCTTGTGCTTATTCTCTGGAACTACTTGCATCCAAAGCATTCAGACTATCATATTTATTGCAGGAAAACCATATTTTTAATTCCTTTCTTTATTTGCAATCCACCTTCCCTCTTTAATTCTAAGTACCTTATGCCTCCTCCCTTCTCACTACCATGTCTGCTGCTATTATAAGTGGTGTGTGAGTTTGGCTGTTTTGAGGTAGTTACTGTGATGCTTTTAAAGATGAGCCAAGGTCTTAATCCATATGCATGCACTGCTCTATAGTGCTGTCCTGCAAGTCTTAGCTTAGGAGCCTTCCCTGTAGCTTTAAAATAAAAGAGCGCTGAATTCCTGCAATGCTGCCTCTCCACTCACACTCCCTGACCTCTGTCTCCACTCCTGTAACAATGCGAACAGGGCTCAGTCTAAAACACAGTTAGTTTAGTTCTCTGAATGCTGTCCCCAAACAAATATTAAATCTATCTTCAATGATAAAATGCAACTGGCCCAAAGTGGCTGATGTCTGTAGCACTATTTCCTCTCCCACGTGTATAATAGATATTATAGGTTCCCCTTGACATTTAGTCCAGTCGTGTCCGACTCTAGGGCACGGTGCTCATCCCCGTTTCCAAGCCATAGAGCCAGCGTTTGCCCAAAGACAGTTTCTGTGGTCACGTGCCCAGCGCGACTAGACACGGAATGCCGTTACCTTCCCACCATGGTGGTACCTATTTATCTACTTGCATTTGCATGCTTTCAAACTGCTAGGTTGGCAAGAGGTGGGACAAGCGACGGGAGCTCACTCCGTCACGTAGATTCGCTCTTACGACTGCTGGTCTTCTGACCTTACAGCACAGAGGCTTCTGCGGTTTAACCTGCAGCACTATCATGTCCCTACAATAGCTATTATACTGTGCCATTTAATTGGCACAAGGAAACACGCCAGCTAAACACAGTTGGGATATGCTTTGTAATTAAGCTGTCTCTGCAAGCTGTTCTGCTTACATCTTTGAGCTTTAGTTCTTGAAGTGTTATTGCAGGCATCCTGCTAAAGTTGAAAACTAGTGCCAGTTTTTGTCAATGCTTTTTCAAGGATTGGCAACTATAGTTCTGAACTCTGCTTAATTCTTACAGAAATTATTCTCTGAACTGTTTCTATGCTCTGTCTTTTGGGGTTGTGTATATTCCACAAGGCTTTGGGTTCATCACTTGTGGAATGGAGTGAATGTAGTATAGCAATAATGTTAATTTATGTCTGAATTGCCTAATCTTCATTATTCCAGGGGATATTATAGAAATGTTGGATGTTACTGTCTGGAAAAGGCTTGAGAAATCTGAGAAGGTTGTGATGGACCTTCCAGAAATGACAAATTGGACGCTAGGCTTCTTGGCCCTTTGCTGTTTTCTTATGGGTTCTATTGCACAGGGCGAGCCTTTTTGTTAGAATACCTTTGCAAATCTTGGTATTAGCCACTTGACTTGGATATTTTTTTTAAAAAAAAACTGTACATAGGTGAGGTCTCCTAAGAGCCTTTTCATATGAACCCTGATCGCTTGACATCATTTGGTTCTCTTCTTCAGGCAACAAAATACCTTGGACCAGCCCTGTTCTTGACTTCTTGTTTCTTGGTCACCTCTTCACAACTTTTCTTTTTGATGCCCTTGTGATTTTTCCCTTTTCCCCAGGAATTTAACATTTGAAACTGTATTTTGCAGAGCAAATATATGTATGATTGCCCAATTCTGCATAAAATTCAATGATTTGGCCTTTTGGCACAGAGTTCATATAGTCACAGTTATATTTTTCATTAATCATGTCATGAGTCCACTGGGTTTCCTCTAAAGCAGGGGTCCCCAATCTTTTTCATCCCGGAGACTGGGTGGGGAAGGCGGGGCACCCCCTGCACTTGTGCACATGCTTGAACAATGGCGCTTGTGCAGGCACACACACACTTGTGTGTATGTGCAAATGATGGCACAGTGCTTGTGCGGGCATGCGCGTGCTTGTGCGCATACACAAATCAGCTGTGCGGGGGTTATTGCATGTGGGGGTGGGGGCGGGAGGTCTGTCTCTGTGGCCCAGTCCAGCTCAGGTCGCAGACCAGCACCCGGCTGCAGACTGGGGTTTGGGGACCTCTGCTCTAAAGGCCTTTGCATGCTTCTGTCTGCTTTGTGTGCCTTGTGGTGGTAGGCTATCAGCTGGAATGCTTGTTATAAACAGTATCTATGTAAACAGAAGCCTTAGTTACGGAGAAGTCATAATAGACATCAGAGCTAAATCAACAGTCTGTCATATAAGCTTGCTTCTTTATTATTATTATTA